CTGGTCGGTGACCCAGCACCCGTTCCTCTTGCTTCTGTTTGATGGATCGCTTGCTAAGGCGAGCAGCAGAGCACTGTGCCCTGACTCTTGCCTGCAGAGGCTTCTTTCACCAGCACTGCTGTGTGCCCAGCTAACAAAGCTCAGCTGGGGACAGGGGAGGCTGAGCATGGCTGTATCCTTCTCACCTTCCAGTGTGTTTATGCAACACTCCATGCTATTTGGAAAAACCTCTGGAAGTTGGGCATCTCCTCCAGGTCTGGCAAGACGGAAACAGTGGGATAATGGAGTTCTTCAGAATGCTAACCAGTGACCCCTCTCCCCCTGCCCCACACCCCCACTGCCAAAGTGCTGCCCTCAAGGTGCACAGCGTGGTCTCTGGAAGCCCAACACGCCTCTGAGCAGGCAGAGAGGGCCACAGGGAGAGGCAGAGCTGATGGCACGACCAAAGGAGCGTCTCCCTGTGCCTGATTTCAGATGGGTTGCCTGTGTCAGGACACGCAGACGCCTCTGGCAGGGAGAACTCCATGCCTGGCAGGATGGCATTGAACGCTCCTCCTTTCTGAGATGCTGCATGTCATCGTCTCATCGATTATCTTAAAGAAGCTGGGGCGGCTGGCCAGACGGGTGATACTGATGATGGCCATCAAAGAAACCCACGGCGCTTCTCATCCGTGGCTGTCAGTGTTACCCAGTTTTGCACGTAACATGAATTGAAGGAGGATCAATGTGTCAGCAAGGGAACAAACAAGACAGTTATTCGAGTTAAACTGAAATAATGTGCAAAAATAAGCTCTTTGGCAAACCTGCAGCCCCCAGGGGACTTGGATCTTGTAGAATGTGAAATTCCTTGAAGCACAAACCCCGTGGGCATTAGTACGTTGCTTGGGGTGGCAGGGAATTTTTTTTGCCCCCTTGTGTTTGCAACTGTGAGGATCATGGGGTGCCCTCTGTGGGGGAGGGGAGGGGTTGGGCAGATCCCTTTCCAGAAGAGAACTGAAATAGCTTGTAACAGAGCCTAGCTCCAGCAGCTTCCTTAGGGAGGTGCAATGACCTGAAACCTGTGACACGTGTCCCCATGGCCCCTGCTGGAGCCTCCTCAAAGGCAACATTTCAAGCCCCGATTTTAAATTTGGTAGGATGGGGGGCTTCAAGCCACCGACTAGCAGAGCAGAGACGAGGTTTCTGGGATTTCCATTTCTTGTGTTGATGTCTTGCTGATGGAGTTGGAATTTGGAACCATGGTGAGATCCTTTGTGTCCGGATCCCTTCTGTGAGGTGGGGAGGGATCCAAAAGCCTGGCTTTTTTCCTCTTCCAAAATCTGATGGGAGAAATGACCAGGAGGGGAATTCCTCAGATTTAGTTCTCTTTGCAGAGCCCAGGATAACCCTCTGCACTGGGGGATTCCTGGTTCTGCAGGTTCTCCCGGGAGCCCCAGCTACCTACTGAGGGGAGATTCTTTGTTCAAGGTGGTGGGTGGCAGCACTCAAGTGTTGAAGGGAAGGAGATGGGTCAAATTTTTTTTTTTTTTGGGGGGGGGGGTTCATGCTGATTTACGACTCTGCATGCACTTCCACACGCAGCAAGCAGATCTGGAATAATCTCCAGCCTTTGCGACAGTCTGGGAATGCAGCTGTACACAGTTAACTCAGGGGTGCTTTAAATGGTTTGTGAGCTGTGCTGTGGCAGGCTTTGATGTGTGCTAACCATCCTATCTGTCCGTAAGCCTCTGTTACTATTAGTGTTGGTCGTCATTGCTGTTGAAAAATCAAAGACCATGAAAAAGCAATGGCAACTTCTGTTGCTGGTTCTAGAAATTGCACACAACTGAACTAAGACTTTGAAGACCCCTTTCACAGGTGGCCCGATGCCATAATTATTCATTTATTTTACCTTCCCCAAAGGCCTTCTGAGTGAGCACGATTAAACTTGCATGCTGCCTATCTATACTCCCCCACCCCCGGGGGGGCTCTGTGGATTATAAGATTTACAGTTGTTGAATAAAAGTAGAGCCAAATTCACACTTCATCCCAGATGGATAAGAACATAGCAATGTTTGGGCTCACCCAGAAGGAATTCCCAGGACTCTGATTCTTGCAAATTGGGGATTATGCTCCCCAGGGGGAACGAGGCAATGTCTAGAGGTGCATTTTGATGGTCACCCCCGGGGACCATTTCTGAGGGGAGTCTCTGGGATGCTACAGGACAAGGCCTCACCACATGGTGAGGGACTCCGCAGGTCACAAGTGCCTACACAGGTCAGCCTCTGGCTTGCCAGGATCCTGCCCCGATATGCAGCCACTCACGTTCTGAAATCACACTGGAAAAGTGAGGGTCAGGTCAGAGGAAGCCTCGTGCATGTGGGATGAATGGTGGGTTCCTGAGAGACCTGCCCAGCCCAGCCCAGCTCGGCCCCGCCAAGCAGAAGGATGCTGACTCCAGGATGCCCCCCTTCTTTCTGGTGCTATCTGGGTGACACTGGAGCAGCATGGTCCCCGAGAAGGAATTGAGAAAATCGGGCCCAGACTTTTGCTAAAGAAATGAACCCAGAGACATCAGTCTTTGCAAGAAGGAGACTGTTTTGCAGAGCAGGGGCAGGGGAGGGCACCCGATCGCTGTCCTTGACTAGTCTCAGTGTTGCAGGTTTCCCACGATCACAGTTAATTGCATTGCTTCAAGGGGGGATATTTTCTGGTTTCTGACATACTCCCCTTGGGTTAATATGGAAATAGTCAAAAAATTCAAAAGTATATAGAATACTTCTGTATATTCCCACATACTCTTCACCCGGATCCTTCAGCCACTATAAAATGTATCAAAATCTTCTATTGATTGCTGTCCTCGTGTGTGTGTGTTCCTTTATTCTGTTTGAGGAAAAAACAATCCCAAATAGCACTACATTTCACAAACATTTTAGGTAGTGTCTCTAATACAGAAGGATTTGGTGGGGGGCCTACTGGTGATTAACCCAGGGCATTTACCCACTTGAGCCACATCCCCAGCCCCCCCTCTTTTTTTTTGTATTTAGAGACAGGGTCTCACTGAGTTGCTTAGTGCCTCACAAAGTTGCTGAGGCTGGCTTTGAACTTGTGATCCTTCTGCCTCAGGCTTCCCAGCCACTGGAACTACAGGCTTGCATCATGTAGAAGGATTTTTTTAAAAAAAATCTAGTGATTCTATTATCCTGTTTTCTATGATCATGACAAATAGCCACAAACAGGGTGGCTTATAACAGCAGACACTGATGCTCTCAATTCGAGGGGGTCAGCAGGCCTGGGTCCTGGAGGCTCAGGAGGGCCAGTCTCTTCCATGTCTATCTGTGGGCACTCGGGCATCCCTTGGCTTGGGGCTGAATCCCTCCATCTTCCGCCTCTATCTTCACATTCCCCCCCCCTCCACCCCTGCCAGCTCTCCCACCTGTGTCAGGAAGACCCTGCCATTGGGTTAAGGACCCACTGAATCAATAATGTAGAACAGTCTCATTGTCCTGTGTCTCTTCCCCCAGGAGGTCCCATTCTGTCTGTTACCACAAGAGGCCTAGTCGCTGCTTCCGGCGATCAGTGACTGTGAATCTCATCCTATTTGTTTCTCTCGGGCTGTGGGAGTGTGTGAAGGAAGGGAAGACAGATTGTTGTCTCTTGGTCATGGGGTTCTCTTAAGATGCTAATGATTTATTGAGAAAGACAGTTTGTGGCATATAAAGAAAAGTGTTATGATAAATATGAAAAAGAATGCAGGTCTATTGGGAATAGCAATGCTTGTGGAAACTCTGATTAAAATGATGCAGGAACCTCACATCTCTTCTTGGGGCCTCTCAATGAAGTGCCTCATGGAACTGGTAAGGATCAAAGAGAACACAGTGTTAACCAGTGTATAAGTGCTAAGCATTTGGCACGTGCTGCATTTTGTGTATCTGGAGGTTCAGAGGTGGTCATAAATATCAAACCAACACCAGCAAGGCACATACTGCCACGGCCTGGTTCCTGTAATGTATGTGCTCCTGTTTTAGTTAGCTGTTTCGGTCACTGTGACCAAAACACTGGACAGGAACAACGTAGAGGAGGAAGTTCATTGGGGGCTCACAGTTCTGGAGGTCTCAGTCCGTAGACGTCTTCGGGAAGCAGAGAAGGGGCTGCAGGGCACATGCACCCCTCCTGGGCATGCCCCTAGTGACCTTCTCCAGCCATGCCCCCCTGTCTGCAGTCACCACCCACGTGTCTATTCAAGCCCGAATGGACAACTTAGGTTATAGCTCTTTTAATCTAATCACTTTCCCTCTGTATTAATATTCCTGAATTGACGGGGGCTACGGGGGGACACCCCATATCCAAACCATAACTCCCCCCCCACCCCCGGCTGCCAAAACCTCATGTTGATCTCACAGGGCAAAATGCAGTTAGTCCATCTCCGAGAGTCTCATAGTCTTAAGAGTTCAATTGTCCCAAAGTCCAGTCCAAGCCCAAAGTCTTCTGAGACTCGAGGCAAACTCTTGCCTGTGAGCTCTCGTAAAAGTCAAAAACGAGTGACATACATCCTACGTACCATGACAAAGACTAAACATTTCCATCCCAAACAGGAGGATCAGGGGCATGGAGAGAGAAGGGACAGGGCAGGACTGAAAGCCAGAGGAGCAGACGGATCCCGACTCCTTCTGTAACTCCACGTGCAGCATCTCGGACCCGCGGCCCTGAGATGTGTTCTCCAGAGGGCTTGGGCGGCCCTGCCCGCTTGGCCTTGCCGGCTGCAGTGCCCGCGGGCTCTCCTGGAGCCTGGCTTTCTCGGCAGCCAGCAGCTGCTCTGGGCAGACTGTCCATGTTACTGGCATCGCTTGGTTCCTGAGCTCTTCATTCTGGCTTTTGCTTCCCCTTCACACACCACTGTCTCAGGGACAGCTCCCAGGGGCCGTGGCCCTGCTATACTTAGGCTGGCCCCCCAGGCCTTCCTTTAAAATCTTGGTGGAAACCTCCATGACCCTTCACTTGACCATTCTGCGTTTTTTCAGAACCAGACACGGATGATACCAAGGTCGTCTGCTAGCTGGCCCCCTGGAGTCGTGTGCAGCGGCCTCTTCGTGCTCACATGGTCAGCGCCAAGTTGTTTCGGCATGATGAAACAACTTCCTGGGCCCACCTGTGCAAGCCGGGTGCTCCCAACATGCCAAAGGGATTCCCCCTGCTACATCCTCGAACCTGTAGTGGGTATGATCTTGCAAGTTTTTGTGATATTCTCAACCATCCTTCCTATTTTCTATGTGCACAGTACTTAGCATCTCTTTAGGAGACATAATCCCTTCAAGTACAACTTCCTCGTCCCCTGGTTTACACGGACTTTTTTAGAGTTAGAATGCAAGTTTTTAAAAAAATCTTAACTCTGCTTTCTCACCACAGTAAACCTGGCTAATAGCTTCCAGTAATATCCCTGCTACTGACGAAATGCAGAGCTGCCTTGAAATGTCCTCTGCCAGATAATTACTCTATCACCTTTAAATTCAGCCTCAGTGTCTCAGGACATGGGCAAAATGTAGCCAAGTTCTCTGCCAGAATATAACACAGTGGCCTCTAGTCCAGTTCACGATGGAGTCCTCGTCTCCCTTGGACCTTTTGAGCACAGTCTGCTTTCCTGTGGACATTCTGGTCTTCTGAGGTCCCACCACATTCCCTCCTTAACCTCCGCCTACAGCATTCTAAGACTCTTCCTGTTTGCATCTCTACACATTTCAAAATTTCTCCCGCCAACCACTTTTAAAGACTTCTAAACCACATGCTCATGTTAGTCAGAGCAACAGCCCCACTTCTCGGTACCAGTTTCTGTCCTAGTTGGCTTTTTCGTTGCTGTGACTAAAACTCCCCACAAGAACAACTTGGAGCAGGAAAGTTTATTTGGAACTCATGATTTCGGTCCATAGATGGCCAACCCCATTGCTCTCGGCCTAAGATGGGGCAGCACATCTTGGCAGAGGGCTCAGCGGAAGAAAGCTTTTTGACTCCTGACAGCCAAGAAGCAGAGAAATAGGAGGGGAAGGGGCCCCAGGGAAGATGCATCCTTGGAAGGCCCGCCCCCGCCCAAGTAACCCACCTCCTTCAGCTAGGCCCCACCTGCCTGCAGTGACCACCCAGTTGATTCATTCAAATCGGGATGGGCTGATTGGGTTACAGATCTCGCGCTCCCTCCACCTTTGGGGCTGCTGAGGATTGAGCTCGAGGCCTCATGTGTGCTAGGCAAGCACTCTACCACTGAGCTGCACCCCAGCTCACAGCACTCGTTATCTAATTATCTCTCCTCCAAATATTCCTACGTTACCAGGAGTTTGGGGTGGGGACAGCACACATTCAAACCATAACAGACTGAAAGTGGGCTAAATATGTGAATAGTTTTGGGGAAAGGAGCAAATAGCTCTAAAATAGGTGGAAGGATCCCACTTGTTAGGTTGGAGATGCAGATGAAAAACCGGATAATCACTTCACCTCAAACCATTAAATAGAAGTCAGAAAGCTTGTCTGTCCCTGTGTTGTGTTGGTGCAAAGACACTGCAGGATAAGCTGAATACAACTTCTTCGTGAGATGCTTGGCCAGCCTGCTCTCCAATATGAGACATTTGTACCCTTTAACCTAGAATTGTTTGTGGAGATATTTTAAATGTATGCAAAGAAGTCCTCAAACGATAAGAAAAAAACGAATGATTCTATATGTGGAAGAAGCACCACATGACATGCTTGCATGGATAAAAACAAGATGCCTCATACAGTAGTTCCCCATTATCCATGGTTTTGTTTCTGCAGTGTCATTATACATGGTCAACCAGTCTGAAAAGACAAAATTGAACAATCCATAAGAATTAAAATGCATGTTCTGAGTATTTTGATGAAATCTCTCACCATCTCTTTTCTGAGATGTTATCCATTTTTTAACGTGTCCACACTGTATGTGGTACCCTCCTGTTAGTCCCGTTGTTTATCATATCAATTATATGGTATCAAAATGCTTGTGTCAGGTGACCCCTCTTGTAATTTGTAATGGCCCAGATCTAAGAGTAGTGATGCTGACAAATTGAAAATGCCAAAGAGAAGTGGTGTGTGCGTCTTCGAAGTAAAAGCGTGAAACTTTATTAAACATGTATAGGAAAAAACATACTAAGCATAGAGCTCGGTACTCTGTGGTTTCTTGCTTCCAATTCAAGTCTCATAATGTGTTCCCATAGGGGGATACATGATCACAAGTTGCATATAAACCAGGAGGAGACATATGGTACAGATTGATGTTGGTAGAGCATGACTGGAAGGAAATCCTAAGATTTGGACCTCCTAGTCCTTTTAGGAGGAGGTTGGTAGCATAGGGGAGACACTTTTCAGTGTATGTTTGCATTTTCCCTCTGCCTGTATTAGCTAATTCGTTCTCCTTCTCCCTTCCCTAACCATCTCCTCCTCTCCCACTCTCCCTCTTCTGTGTGTGTAATTAGAGAAATCTCCAAGCTTTCTTGTTTTCCTCTAAATCATGTGATGAGGATGTCTGGCACAGAAGGCAGCAGACTCTCTCTGTAGAAAGCAGAGTCCCTGTAGTGTTTTGGCTTTGCAGACCTTAAGGTCTCTGTCACAGTAGCTGAGCTCTGTGGTTTTAGGGGGAGGGCAGCCATAAACACTAGATAAAAGAATGGCAGGGCTTTGTTCTTTCCAGCTTGATGTGTGCAGGCAACCAGTCTGGGCAGACTCTGCCTCCCGGGCATAATTTGCTCACCCTGGTCTAATGGATCTGATTAGTGTTGTGTCTGAACTCTAAAGGAAAGTGTACACTGTCCGTTGCTCTTTGTATTGCACAGTGGGCTTTTCCCTGTCCTTGTGATTCTCTCCTGATTGCACCACTGCACCTACTACCATTTGCCTCTTAAGTTCTTCCCTGTACGTCTTTTTCTTTCTTCAAATCCTTAGCTTAAAATTTATCCCCTCGAGAGAGGACACCTAATTAGCCCCATCTGCCCAATCAGACTCAATATTTTCTTCTTAATTTTAGAGACACCATTAACAGGGTTATCTGGTACAATTAGGGCCAGGGTGTAGGGTGTGGTAGTTGGACTCCCAGCCAACCAGACAGTATCTAATGCTTCTGTTCTGGCCCCTTTAGGTGGCTGCGTGCATCCGTCTGTCTGTCTCTGTCTCTGTAATGAGGATGAAACCCAGGGGTGCTTTCCCACTGAGCTACATTCCCAGCCCCTTTTGTTTTTTGAGCCGGTCTCACCAAGTTGCCCAGCTGGCCTTGAATTCGGCAATCCTCCTGCCTCGGCTTCCCATGGCACTGGGATCACAGGGGTGCACCATTGTGCCTGGCTCTGTGGACTATCATTTTGAAAATATCTCTTCCCACACGTGACTGCCTTTGCAATTACAGTGCAGTTGAGTATTCTTAAATGGAGGAAGTTAAACAGGGAGAGAGAGAACCAGGTGGCGGGGGCTGGCAGGTTTGGCCTGGGTGCCGAAGGGGGGAAGCAGGCAGGGTTGACCTGCTGCTTGAGAAGCTGCCTGGCAGCTGGGCACTGGGATTTGGAGATGTTCCCTTCCTTCCTGAACAGCTCCCTGTGCCCAAACTCTGTGGTTTGCAGAGTACCCGCTTCCCTTCTGCCGGTCAGAAGTCTGGGTCTGTCGTGGGCACAGGGTCCATTGTTAGCAGCTCCCGGCACAACCCTGGATTCTGAGGCCCTAAGGTTTATGGACGTTCTTCATCAAGGCCCTTGATGGGGGCGTTGGAGTTTCCACCCCTTCCTCTTTCTTTCTGTCACCCTGGCTGTGAGGTCAGTGGCTTTGCTCCACCAGAGCTGCTCGCCAGGATGTGCTACCTCACTACTGGCCCAAAAGTCACGGGGCCACCTGGTCATGGACAGAGGCCTCCAAAACTGGGAGCCAAAGCAAACCTTTTGTCTTTGTAAGTTGGTCATCTCCGGGATTTGTCACAGTAACAGAGAGCTGACTTTTGTATCCCTTGGCTGGGTCTACTGTAACGGGAATGGAAGCACATGCTGACACGAGTCCTCAAGAACTCTGCACTGGAGTCGGGGGGAGTCCTGGGACCAGCCCACCCTCAAATTTCACTTCACTCCTCAACAGGCTGTGTCTCTGGCTGCCCATTACCCGCGTCAGTGTTTAATGAGATCGTACCTCTCTTGCAGGGCTGTTGTGAAATAAGTGGACCCTTGGAGAGCGGGAAAGGAATTGGCCAGAGGAGGTGCCAAAGTCCAGGCCTCTCCTTCCCCTCTGTCTTCCTTCTGAGGCGGTGGCTGTGTCCTTGACCTGCATCAAGAGAGCAGTCTTGAAAACTTGCTAGCTCTTGAGGTTCTCCAGTCCTCCAGGGATCCGTGAAAAGGGAATGGGGTGAGCACTGTCATTAGGGCGCTCTTGGTTAAATGTGACTGTGTGTGGCTATCATGAAAAGACAGCATTGGTCTTCATTGGTTTTAAGTGGGGGCAGGTGTCTTGCGAATTATAAGCTCAGCTTCATGATGGCTGCCTGTAGGTTTTCCCTTACTTTGGCCATCTCTGCTGCGAACCGGGCGCTTCTGCTGTGGAGTCGGTTGGTCCTGCGTCCTGACCCACAGGCGTTACCCGGCGGGAAGTCTGGCAGACATGGAAGAGTGTGCTCTTTGCTCTGGAAGCACAGGGCTGCCCGCAGAACGCTGAGTGGTTAAAAGTGGATTTGCCCTGCGGTGTGATCACTGCGGGCAGTTTTGGAGGGCAGGATGCCAGGGGCCTGGCTGGGCACTTTCTGTCCTTGGAAACAGCAGGGCAGCTTAGGGGAGCCAGGTGCCCATTCTCAAGGCGCAGCTTTGGTTGGGAGCACCGAGGGCTTTGCCAGCCCAGTGATGACTGCCCAGTGATGACTGTGTGACACTGTGTGACATCCTAGAGTATGGACAGCCCACGGTGAAAGGAGTGAGGTCTTGCCTCGTGAGCAGAGTTGAAGGGTGTGATAAACCTCAGACGCCAAGGGAAATCACCTGTGTGTGTTTCAGCCGCTGGATTAAGACCCAGTTCACATTCCACACCGTCCATCAAAGCGTACTCCCTGGTGGTGTTGGGTGTGCTCAGAGGCCAGCGTCATACAGGTTCTGCCTCTGTGGCTGCCATGTCACTGGGCCTGCTGTTGGGGTTCCTTCCTGTCCTACCATGTGTCAGACCACACCCCTTTTGATTGCTGCGTAGGATTCCACCGTAGG